ATTTAATAGCATCACCACTTGGGGCTTCCTAAGCACTCCCAAGCAGCCCACAAATGTCCCACGCCACCACACTTGAGGAGCAGCACTCCTTTCCCCAGCAAAGTCAGTTCTTGGCTGTACAGGGAGGGGGTTGGGGTGGCCGTGGGACAGCCCCACATGTGGCTGAACACAAGCTGGGGACATCAGGGCGGGGTGGGGACACTGCTCTCCACAGAAGAGAGGAGATGGGAGCAGACACCAGAGTGCTGATGTGCATCTCTATTGGAAAATCTGCCCCTGCAGAGCTCAATTGATTTTTTTAAATTAATCTATTTACAGCAGTTTGAGTTGAGCTAGCTTTAGGTGCTGTTTAAGCTGCTTTCCCAGTGCCTCACGTTCAGCACTTGCATGGTGGGATTAAGGAGATGGGGAACTGAAAAAGGGAGAGGAGTGCCTCTGGGTGCTGCTGGCTCATGGCTACATGTCCAGCGTAGGACTGAGCCTTGGCAGGGCTATGCCTCCCCATTCCTGATACTTAAAGTGTCATCACACATCCATGGGGGAGCAGCAAGGAGCCCCACAGCTTTGGGCTGCAACATGAGGGGATCCTGCAGGAACCCAGCAGCCTCCCCCAGAGGTCCTTCATGCTCTGGAAAAAGCATAGTGGGGAGCATTTCTCCTCTCTGTCATTAACCTGACATAATGTCTCTCCTGCTGGCAGCTTTCAAGCTCAGCAGGTTTGTTATAAAATTCATTACCAGATATTGCAATCACAGTCACCTTTATTGGGCTCTGCATTTACAATAATTAGGCCAATAAACACTGATTTATAAAAATGACAAACAGGAACTCCCAGTAAGCAAGAAAAATGTGCTTTCTTTCGGGAGGACAAAAGCACACACACAGAACCTGATCGCTGCAGCTGACTTCTCCTGGGAATCCCCACGCACTGGCCAGGGGGCACAAACCCAAACCCCAGTGTTCAGCTTCACACGGCTTGCAGCCAGTCCACCTCATCCACAGACATCAGAGCCTCCTCCATTTCTGATCTTTTCTCCGCTTTCCTCTCAGTCACCTCTCGCCAACCTTCGGATCTTGCTGTCCCATGTACCCAAACCTCCCTACCCATGATAACAACCCACTGAGCCAAGCAGTGCCCCCACAGCTCCCACCCCACTCCCTATATACTCTCAGCAGGGGCACCTGAGCCTCCTTGGCTCCAGTGACACCAGCTCTGCTGGTGAGAGCAGCTGGTGCTGGGAGCAGCCAGAGCTGCATGGGCATGCTACAGGAAAGGAGTAGGCTGGTTGTCTCCTCCAGCTCAGCTGCCCAGAGCCCCATCCAGCCAGGCCTTGAGCACCTGCAGGGCTAGAGCACCCACACTCGCTGGGCATCCTGTGCTCATGCCTCACTGCCCTCTCAGTAAAGAATTTCTTCCTGAGAGATGCCCACAGTACAACAGGCAGCCAGCGTTCTCATCCTCTTGTGCACACATCTGGCAGCAGCTCCACAGCATTGCTTTGGATCTTAACAACCCTTTCAGCTTTGAAATATCTTTAATAAAATGGCTTTCTGTGCAACACCAACATGCACATAGCTTTCAATTACATTTTAACACTTCTGGTGGGAAGTAGCTCCTTACTGGGAGAAGTGGCTTACAATGGCTGGGGATTGTTTACCATGATTACCATGTTGATCTTTGCATCCCAGATGTTCAGAGCCTGGTGAAGAATGCCACTTGCATTTGTCCTGTAGGCATGGTGAGCCTTATGCATGAGGAACTGTTTCTGAAGAATTGTTGAACATCCAGTAGAACAGAGACATGAAATTGTCATAGAACTGTAGAATGGCTTGGGTTGGAGAGACCTTGAAGATCATTGAGCTACAAGCCCTGTGCTGTGGGCAGGGTTGCCACACACTTGATTAGGCTGCCCAGAGCCCCATCCACACAGTCATTTGTCAAGATGAAACCAGCGTTTAGATGAAGTTCTTCTGTTCTGTTAACAACTTCTGTTGGTGAGGGAGCCAGAGTAGTGCCGAGACACGGGGTTTTCATGGGGTGAGCGAAGAGAAGCACGTGCTGATGGCAATCACTGAGCAGCTCCTTTGGAATGACCACCGTGAGCTCATCTGTGCCATCCCTCAGTGAGGGCTGTCAGCTCCCAGCATCCGCTGCAGCAGAGAGCGACATGCATGAAGCCCAAATCCCCGGGTGGTTTTGTCATGATGATTAAGTTCCTTAACTTGAATCAAGTGTGTCTCCAGAGTTTTCTACCATGCTGTGAACTTAAGATAAACAATAAATGATGAATAGGCCAATTATCTAAACCTCTCTCCAACAGGCCCCTGTGTGGCAGGTTGATAAGAGGAGATACGCGGCCTCTCATCTGCCGGAAGTTGCAGAGAATGGATTTGTTTGAAGCAGAAAGGGCTCGGAGCAATCAGCCCCGTGGCTAACGAGCTGTTAGCAGCACAGGAGAGCCAACACTACCCAGTGCAAGAGGCACAGCCCTGTGGGGAGACCTCCAGCAGCCCCCAGGTGGTGGTGACTGGGGGACACGGGATTGCCGAGGCTGCATCCCACGGTGAGCGCCAGGAGCATCCCTGTCCCGTGGGGAACGCTGTGATTTACGTACTGCCTGTGGAATTGCCCAATTAATTCACTATCCACATTAATATTATGGCTCATTTTTAACTTTACTGTCTCCATCGTTCCAGTTTAGTGCTGCTCCGAGATGCTGCCACTGACCTTAATGGGTTTTTCATTAGAACAAAGAGCACCCCATTAATCACAGTTCGTTTTTGGATGGAGGCTGCTGGCCGAGCTGCTCTGCTCTGGGGAGCTGCTCTCAGCAGTTCAGGGCCGCTTTTATTCCTGCGTCTCACACTCCTGTGCTGGCTGGGAGGAATTTCTTGGTATGGTATTTCCAGGGATGTCATGCAGCACTCAAGCTGCACAGCAGTGTGAGAGATTGTTTGCCGGGCAAACCGAAGCAAGAAGTGCAGAAAGGAGAGGAGGCAATGAGCCTCTTGTTGTCCTGTATAGAAATCAAATGCCTTTTAATCATTCCAAATGTTCTTCTGGGTATCAATTAGCCACACGTTAATATCAGCATTGCTTCTATTCCTCAGTTTGCATCAGATTAAATTCTCCCCCGTCATACAGACTGGCACTCATTAGCTTTGAAGAAAATTAGCAGTTGTTCCCTCTTCATTGGCGCCGATGGGAAATTTACATCAGAGCTGCTCTCCTATAGAAACCCTAATTGTCATCTTACAGCCATTGAATATTTTTCCCCCAAAACGTGTTTTGCTGCCACCAAACCCGGAATGTGGGGCTGGGCAGCACTACTGCTGCCTATGGAGAGTGGAGGCATGTGGGAGCCCCATCCCTCTGCCTGCTCCTCATGTGTGATGATATTTATTGAGTTTTATTAACTTCCAGCCCTGGGAGGTTCTCACCTCTTCAAGTTAATTCAGCCGTCTGACTCCTGCCGGAGTTGTGCTGATTGTCATTAAAAAACTTGACATTTACCTTACAACAGTAATAAAATAATAATGCCTAATTTGGTTTATGAGTGGTATTTGCAGTGTTTCCTGCGCCTGGAGTGGGGGATATTGTGAAGATGGCTGCGATGCGGATCAATTATGTCTGGTTAACAGTGCTGCTGTAATTCTTTCCTGTAATCATAACCGCCTTTCAGTAGAGCAGCTCCAAAGTTTTTCTCTGAAACAGTAATTTTGACAGGGAAGGAAAAAAACAAAAAATGTTTTCAGTCCAAAACAGTTCCTTCAGTTTTCAGAACAAAAGCTTCAGAGGCGAAACTTCCCCATGAAAGGGAACGTGTGGAAGTAGAGCTGCGCTGGCTGCACATATTTGCTGCACTCAGGTTTCCAAAATATTTCAGATGTTTTCAAAGGCTGACTGCAATTGCTGCCCATTAAAAAAATGATTTTCCCCCCCGAATAACGTGCTGTCTGCCACTTGTCAGTACCGGCCTCTCATATTAGACACCCGCATACAGGGCTGGCAGCAGCTGAAGAGCCAGCACCGGTCCTGGCATCACCAGTGCTGCCATTTCTTCCTCTGCTTCTCACCAGAGAAAAAGCGAATGTGGGTTTTTGACGTGGGTTTTCTTCCTTTCAGTACAGTTTTAATTAGTGCATCCCGCACTCACAGTTTTTATTAGCACAGACAGCTTGGGAAAAAGGAACGTGCCAGCTCCTCCGCACCAGGGAGCCACTGTCCTGCTCAGAGCACAGACTTTGCGCTGCAGTCCTGAAAGCCCTCCTCAAAACGGGTTCATTTCCATGAAGAGATGGGATGATTTCCACAAATGGAAATTGTTTTTAAGTACAAAAAAACATTTAGTCAGGAAATTCCAGGCCGGGCTGAACTGCGGGGCGATGCAGGAGCCGCACAAAGCGAGTGTGGGGTGCCAGGGCCCTCCACGGGGAGAGCTCGAATTCCTGTGGTGCTGGCAGGATGTGCACACATCTGCATGCACACACGCATCTGTGCACACACATGCAAATGCATACACATGGCTGTGTGCGCAGCTACTTGCACACACATGGATGCGTGCCCATGGGAACACCTGCACTGCTGCCGTGCCCATATCCACATCCCCACTGCCCCAGGAGCCTGGGGAGCCCTGGCACAGCCTGGGCACATCCAGGGATGGTGCAGGGGGAGAAGCAGAGGGCAGGGGCAGTGCTTGAAGCCCGGGAGCCCCAGCTGGGAGCTCATAAGAGGCCCGATGGGCACCGTGCAGTGGAGTTGAGCGAGGGCTCCTCTCCAAACTCATGGGAATCGCCCACAGCCTGCGAGCTGCCGACATCCCCTCTCGCCCACCAGTGTTCCTGTCCCAGCCCCGGGGCAGGCGGGCTGCGGGGAACGCTGGCTGCAGCCGTCATCGGAGCCGCAGGAAGCCAGCCTTACTGCATGTGCAGCCCAGAGCCTGCGTAACTCCACCTCGAGCGCTCGTCCTCGCACACAGGGAGCAGCCAGCACCGAGATCATGGGAGGGACGTCGCAGCACGGCCCCGAGGACTGCCGCTTTCTGGATGTGAGTTTGCCGTGTGCTCGTGTCCTCGTCCCTCCGGGAGCGATGGCAGACCTCTGGATATTGTCCTTTTGTGCTTGTCTAGGCGGAAGCATCCAAGACCCGAAAGAAGACCCGCACCAGGTACAAGGTCTGCGGGCTGCTCTTCAGCGTGCTGCTCATTGCTCTCATCCTCGTACTCTTTGGTGTCAAACACCTGTGGAGCCCAGCATCCAGACAAGTAAGTGCAGCCCTCGGGGCAGCGTTTCGGAGCACTGCGCTCCCCCGCCTCCTTGCTTAAATTGAACTGTGCCCTGAAATACAGGCAAGTTTGCAAAATGTATTTTCTTGCACCACAAGGATTTGTGGGGACTTTTACAAAGCCTTGTATTATTCATAACTAGCTTTTACTTTATACAGGCTGGCTTTTTTCTCTGTCACCACATTCCTCTCCTAACTGACAATTAAAGGGTATGGAGCTGCACCACGAAGAGTTAAAGTTACTCTCTTTCACGGGTAGCAAATTTCATGACAAGTAAGAAAATATTTTCCATTTCATTTCAATTATCTTGCCAGAAACCGGTGGAAAAGTCATTATGCCACCGCATAAAGAGGAGAGAAAGCCAGGACGCAGTGGTGATTGATTGTCATGGATTGTATTTCTTACTTTAATGTGTCTGCAATGTGAGGGGATGGTGAGACGGATTAGCTTTTGGAGAGGGAGCTCCTGCTAACTGGATTGAGCTCCTCCGTTCCCTGCTCCCTCTGTGTGCTGTGCTCAGCTGGGAGGCCCTGGGTGCACCGTGCTGGGGTTGATTCCCTACTCCTGACAGCCCGAAAATTCCTGCGCACATCCCCTTTCCTACAGTGAGCTCCCCTCACTCCTCACCAACCCGCGGACCCCCAGGCGCCAGAAGCTTTTTCTTCTTATCAGCACATAGAAATAAATACCGCAAATAGAAGCAATAAAAGCCATATGTGCAGCCGGGCTCTTGCCAAGACGTTTATAAAGTCTCCACTGTTCCTCGAGAAGCACGGTGTGAGCCAGCGGGGTGGTGCTGACCCTGGGATGGGCTCTGACTCAGTTCGGATATCAAGGGAATGGCAAGAGGTCAGGTACAGGAAAATCCCAGCGTTGGCCAAAGGCAGTGTGGCTAAAACAAGTGGAGATGGGGCTGCTGGTAGCAAGTGACCAAGGGGAGAGACCACCCAGAGCTCACACGTGGGCAATCACCCTTTTAAAGTCATTTTATGTCAATGCAAATGACTTAAAAATGACCAAGAAAAATGACACTGGTGCTTTGCCTGTGCTATCTTGGCAAGGAAGGAGATGTTGGGGAAAGTCTTGCTTCCAGCACCAAACGCCATCCCTGGGCTCTTGCAGCCCCACTGGCAATGCGGGAGAACTTGGAGAATGTCAGCACTGAAAGCCCTTCTGCACCAGCCCTGGTGCCTGCAGCATGGCACCGTTGCCCCAGCACCGCCAGCACAAGCAGGAGCCATCAGTGAGGGGCTCACCACGGAAATGCAAGGGGATGTTTTTCAAGGGCTGGCAAGCAAGAATTATTTTTAGCCCTATAAAACATCTCTCTGAGCAGCAGAGGGCAAGCCAAGCCCAAATGGGTTATTTGGCCATAGTGCTGGCATGAATAAGTCTTTGTAAATGGAGAGGAACTTGAGAGTAAGGTACCACTGAGGATCGTACCCTCCTACAGCTGATTTATGGCCCCGTGCACATGCTGTCAGTCAGAACAGGCAGCCTTCCAGCCACCTTAGGCTCTGCACTACTTTTTCCATATCATAAAGTCTATTGACATATATATATATCTTTATAAAAGCCTCCTGCTGACAAACAGGAGATGCCAGCGACTGCCAAGGAGCACATCATTCTTCACATTTTTACCAGGGGCAAAGGTATCCGGTAGTTACTGCACTGCTCAGCCAGCTCCAGCACCACAACATCCTCCTGAAGTTGTAAAATGGGGGATGCTGACCCGGAAAACCCTGAGAAGGATTTTGCACAAGCCCTTTGCTTCTGCACGTTGCTATTTGATTGGGGAAAAGAGACTCTGCACAGCTCTCACTGTGCCAGCAGGATCACTTCTGTGCTTCAAACAGCATCTGCCACTACTCATCCTTTAAGGGCCTGGCGTCCGCAGAGCCGGGAGGGCTGCCAGGCTCACTGTGCAGGGAAGAGAGGGCTGCTCCCCCGGCTCCCTGCGGGGACGAACACACCGGGGAGCAGGCTGTGACACCCTGCAGCTCCTCAGCAGCTCTTCAGCAGCCCTCGAGGAGGGCTTTGATCTGCAGGCAATCCCCAGTCTCCTCAATGCAGGAGGAGGCACTTCTCAGGGAAAGCAGAAGGCACAGAGATGGAGCCAGCGAGCTGGGGACGGGGGATGGCGAAGTCCCTTAGTCAGGGCTTCAGTCCAGCCTGGAACATAAATATAGGATGTCAGGAAAAAAATTCTTCTCAGAAAGAGTGGGGAGGCATTGGCACAGGCTGCCCTGGGAGGTGGTGGGATCACTGTCCTTGGAGGTGTTCCAGAACCGTGATGTTGCACTGAGTGATGTGGTTTAGTGGGCATGGTGGTGATGGATTGATCGTTGGACTGCATGATCTTAGTGGTCTTTTCCAACCTTAATGATTCTATCATAAATGGGTGTGGGATGAGCATCTTCTAGCCCCATGTTCACCTGCTGCTATTCAGGTTCTCCATTATCCCATAGCCAAGCACGTACCTTCATCCTGCCTTTTTTCCCTGGGAGCTGCCTCTCCTTGCGTGGGTACAGGAAAGACTAGAAAGGCAGTGGGGGCTCAGCCAGTGTGGTTTTGTCCCTTTCAGGTCTATGACATGGAGCACACCTTCTTCAGCCACGGCGAGAAGAAGAAAATTGTGATGGAGATCGACCCGCTGACCAGGACGGAGACCTTCAGGAGTGGGAATGGCACTGAGGAGATCCTGGAGATCCACGACTTCAAGAACGTGAGTGAGCAGGATTTATGGGGGAAGCCCTGCCCAGACCCCATCTCCTTGCTGGGAGTTGTGGGGATGCTCTATGGGAGTCCCTGGCTCCCCAATGGAATGGGACCCAGCGGGTGCTTAAAATGCAACATGTGCTTCCCAGTCCAGCTGCAATAGGAACAAGAGGATCCCTTAGGATGCTGCGGTGTTGCCGGAGCACGCTCCAGGATGGTTTTGTTCTGCATCAGAGAGAGCAATCCCCATGTGCAGACCACCTGGGCATACTCTCAAAGGACAGGAGATGTGTGCCTACGTAAGCTTTAATAGTGGCAAGGTTCAGTTCCAGAAAAATACATTTTAAAAGCAAGACCTAGTTATTGGATTTACCCCTGCAAAGGAATGCAATCATCATAAATCTACCCAAACCCAGTACATTTGTCTGTCTGGAGAGCATTAAAACCTTGTGACAATGTTGTAGGCTCTCTCTGAAACCTAATTAAAATTTGTAGGGAACTACCTTGTGCAGTGACATATGGCAAAATTTTCAGCTAATAGCCTAGCAGGAACTGAGGGCTGAATGTTCATATAACCATAACGGTCAAATACTCTTCTGCATATTTTTATTTATGGTAACTGGAGCTCGTGATAGTTATAAGGAGAAGGGGAGCAAAGTGGAATTTTATGACTACCTGCCTTAAAATATTTGTAAAAAGCCCAATTCTCCCAAACCATAAAATGCAACATCCCTTAGGAGAATCTGTTAGTACGTCTTAGCACTGCTGCTGAGCAGAGTTTGCACAAAAACATCAACAGGAAAAATATGACTAAGCTCTGATCCAGCTGCACTCCCCGTAGGATGCTGTTATTTATCCTTCTGCTATGCCGTGACTGCTTTCTTGCTCTTTGTTTTGATGCTGTAGGGAATAACTGGCATCTTCTTTGTGGGACTTCAAAAGTGCTTCATCAAAACTCAGACCAAAGTCATACCTGAGACTACGGAGGCCAAGATCCCTGAGCTGGAGGTACGTGGGCAAAGCAGCACCCGAATCTGTGAGGCACCCAGTGCTCCCACTGCTCCAGGCTGTGATAGAGAAATAAGGAGTTGTGATTGCTTCATGAAATGATCTTATTGCAGAGGATTGCCTCTGAAAACAACAAGTCGAAAGAGACGGGATTAGGCAGCCGACAGACAAAAACCTCTTAGCACAATACCGGAGACCAAGAACAATAATCCTGTTGTAGTCAAAAGGTCGCAAGGCAGCTCAGGATTAGCAATCACCAAAAAGTCAATCAAATTGCTTTCTCTGAGAACTGAGCCTCCTGTTCTAGAGCAGAATGAGGCAGAAGTAATGAGTTTAGAAGAGCAGCCGCATTTGCAAAATGCGATTTGGGAAAGCGCTCTGCCACTTGCATGCAGCCTGGCCAAGCACTGCCACCAAGGCATCTCACACAAAGAAATGGTGTGCCAGCATGGCCCCAGCCTCCACAAGCCTCCCTTTTGCAGATGTGCCTTTAAATCTCACCTACCACATCTTGCTTGAACAAGGTGCGTGCTTGATGTGTGGCATGGAAACAGTGCTACCTCCATCTCTCTGCTCCAGCAGGGGATGTGCCAGCTCTGTGCCACCGGTGGGGCGAGGGCAGCAGCCGTGCCCCATCCCCAAGCCTGCTCACTTGCAGGATGAGGGTCAGTTCAACCCCCATCCCCGGAAGCCATCGCAAATTAAGTGCCAGCAGAACATGTGTTTGGAATAAAGCGCGGGCAAGAAACTTTTCCCTGAATCATGACCCAAATTCTGAGACACAGATTCTTTGATTATGCCATAAGAAGCTAATAGATCTTTTCTGCTACCACCATAAAACGGATGTGACTTTTCAGTCTTTAGCAGAACATTGCCCCAGGTAGAGAGCTGAAATGTAAAAGCCGGGGAGATAAATGTAGATTTAAGATCTACCATTTCTTCTGGGGAGCCTGACTGCTTTTGGAGAAATTGGGAAACGCAGTCAGTGCCTTCAGCAGCAATCTCTGCTTTCCTCCTTCCCCTGGTTCTCTGTAGTTTGGAGGAGGAAGCACAAAAGGAGGCAAAAAGCACACGAACTGGGGAAAATCCCTCCCGGAGCCCCAGCAGTGCCAGGCCGCCTTCCCAACAGGACAGCTTTTAGCAAAATGCTGAAAACAACTCAAAATTGGTCAGGTGTTGCTGGCTCTTGAGTAGGACTTCCTGAAGCCATATGGAAAAATTCTATAAAAGAAAAATGCAGCTCCAGACACCTTCTGGAGAGAAAAAGCCATTTGCCAGCTTGCTCTATGGGCCACCATCAGCACCATGCACCGCGCCGCCTTGGCAGACAGCACAGCACAGACCCATCCAATAATCTTTATATATCTCCCCCCTAAGTGCCTGCCAAAACACACCATGGAATAATGCAATGGCAGAGACATGTGGTATAAATTACAGAACACGGCCGTGCAAAGAATTTCTGCGAGGAATAAATTAAAGTGTTCGATCACAAAATCAGGAGCAGAAGGAGAGAGAAATTAAGTAGTAAGAGCAAAGCAGAGAGGAGATGTTTTAATCTTTGGTTTTAAATGAGCTAGGGAGCTCCAGAAGGCTGATCCAGATGGTGGGGACTGCAAAGGAGAAGGCTTCTGCGGTGGTGGAGGTGGGGATGGTGGAGGATGGTGGAGGGAGGGAGGGGAGAGCAGGGTGATGCTGGTCAGATGTGCACCTGCTGAGACCCAAATCCAGGGTTTGAGGCAGACAAATCTAGGTGCTTGAAGTGGAGATGTGCATTAGGGTTAGGAAGAGAAGATGGGTGCTGAGCTGGGGTGAGGGTGCCTTACCATGCTGTTCTCAAATTTGACTCTTCCTCAGGGTGAAGAAATCACCACCACCTACTTTGAGCAGTCCATGGTCTGGGTGCCTGGTGAAAAACCCATTCAGAACAAGGAATTCCTGAAGAGCTCCAAAATTTTTAACATTTGTAGAAATGTGACCATCTACTGGATCCACCCAACGCCAATAGCAGGTACAAGGAGCCATCTCCTTCCCCAGATACCTGCGGGGTGACTGCTGGCAGCAGCCGTGCCGCCTCCCCTGTCTCCTCTGCTACTATCCCACTCCTGCTGCCCTGCTGTAAGTCTCAGACATGAGTTCAATGCTTGCCACAACCAAGAGGGAATATGCCAATGTAACAATGTGGGCCGACAGTTCTCTCTGCAAAGCGTTAGTCTCCTCCGGCTCCCCACCGCTCTGCATTTTGTAAAGTGTCCTCCCCCCTCGTAATAAAGGCAGAAAACCCCTTTGTACCTGCAAGGAAGCCAGCAATGCTGGAAACTGGGACGCCTAAATTCTCATCGCCACATGAACATCAGAGCAGGAGCAGCCATCCGCCTCTCAATCACACAACGGGGCTGCCACCTCCAGCTGCTTGCCACACGTTCCACAGAGGCCACAACCTCTGAGATCTGCTGGCATAATTACCCACTCTCTAACTCATTTCTATCAGAATGAGCTTGTTTAAAACCTCAACCAAGACACCTCCCTCCTCAGCGGCTGTGGAGGCACGATGTCTTGTCTCATGCAGTACCAAGTGACTCATGGCCACCAGTACCCTGCTGTGCCCCCCATCTCCTCTGTCATCTCCATTTGTGATAAAATTTCAGCAAAGGGAATCAGTGTCACAATAGGTCTGGCCTAAACGACAAGCAGATGCTGTAGCAGGGCCAGAAGTGCTCGTAAGAATGCTCAGGTTGGATGTTAGGAGAAGTTTCTTCACAGAAAGAGCAGTGATGCCACTGGCACAGGCTGCCCAAGGAGTGGTGGGATCACTGGAGGTGTTCCAAAGCCGTAGGAATGTGGCACTGAGGGATGTGGTTATGGATATGGTGGGGGTGGGTTGGATTGGACTGGATGATCTTAGAGGTTTTTCTGAACTGCAATGATTCTATCCTTCCAAACAACCCAGCAGGGTTGAAAGTGCCCCAGATGACGTTGCGTCAGAGGGTCCAAGCTGGGGATCTGTAAACATGGGTTCTTCCCACAGCTCCAGAGCTGGCTGGCCTGGCAAGAACAGAAGAAGATACCGGGCTGTTCACGGATGACCAGAACTGGCTGGATGGGGGCAATGAGCGTGGGATGGAGGCTGCCCTACCAGGACCCAAGCGCCGGACACGGCAGCTGACAGAAGAGGACCTGCCTGTCAACGACTACGTGAGTGTGGGGAAGCACACGCTGGGGTGCCGAGCAGCACCCAGGCCGCACTGACAGCTGACTCTCTCTCACAGACAGAAAATGGGCTGGAGTTCCACCCGCTGTGGGATGAGCGGGGCTACTGCTGTGCACAGTGCCGCCGCGCCAACCGCTACTGCCGGCGGGTCTGCGAGCCGCTGCTGGGCTACTACCCCTACCCGTACTGCTACCAGGGCGGCAGGGTGATCTGCCGTATCATCATGCCCTGCAACTGGTGGATCGCACGCATGCTGGGCCGGGTGTAAGCCCACTGAGCCCCCAGGTAGAGCCCTGCAGGCCGTGGGACCCCCAAACAGGCTGCAGACTCCGAGCGTGGCTCCGAGGGCTGGGCCAGGCTGGCGTCATCGCCCCACTGAGAGGCAAGCAATAAATGTCCTATATGAGCGATTGCAAAGAAAATGGAAAGTCGTTTCGTCTCAGCCTGTGATGCTTAATGGGTCTGAGGAGTGATCTAATTGCTCGGCTGCTTCCTCGTGAGCAGCCATAACTCAGGTGCAGGGAGTCGCCTTGCTGAGAACGTGCTGGGGTCCCCAGTGTGCTCCTGGCAGAGCCAGCACTTGTTAACAACACACGGCACCCCTCAGCTTTGGTGCCCTTGGGGATGTTCAGGAGTCTCTGGTGACAGCTGCGACAGCTCCAGGTGCCCCTAGCATCTTGCAGGGTGATGGGGCTCCCTGCACAAAGAGCCCAAGTGGTAGCCAGCAGAAAAACGGCAACCAAAACTGGAGGAAATTGAGGTGCAAATGGCCCTGAGTGCCATCAGCTGTCCCCCAGCCAAGAAACAGGCAAAGCCTGCAAAGACAAAAAATAGTCTTCAAACTGCTGCCACACTGAGGACGCTCAACCTTCACAGCCAAAATCTCAGATTTTCTCTCTTTTGATTTCACCCACAAAAACACCTGTTCCAGCAAAGGAAGATGCACATCACCAATCAGCAGGTGCTGAGCACTCATCACAGGCATTGCTGCAGCCCCTCAGGCTCCACATCCCCATGTGCAGTGTGTCCCCAGCACTGTGTCCCTGCAGGCACCCTGCGCCAATCCCCATGTTCAGCTCCCAGCAGGGCCTGGCCAGCAGCCCACCATTTAGCCAGCCCCAGGCAAACACACAGCTTAGGAGTGAATGTTTCCTTCCCTCCCTGCATCAGCAAAGTGGTGATTAGGCTTAGACAAATAACAGGAAAACATCCTCAGGTCCTTTGGCAGCTCAGCTCCCCAAAGCCCCTCTCCTTTTCAGCCAAATCATGCCTGAGGATTTAAGACTCTCAAAGCACAGAGCTGACCCAAGGGCTAGCCCCATGCATCCCCTGCAGCAATCCAGGGGCTCACAGCCTGCTGTTCGAGCCTCCTGAGCTTCAGCTCTCCTGGGAGCCAAATGCTGCCAAGCAGCTCTGACACCCCACAGGCATCACTGACCAAAGCCATGTCACCAAGGAGCACACACTGCTCAGTGAAGCCATCCCCAGCACAGGGCAGGGCACCGAGCTCCCTGTGGGACTGCTGATTGTAGAAGTGTGTGGCACAGAGACGTGCTGAGCTGCTCAGCCATGCGTGCATTGGGCTCCCTGTACAGCCATCCCTGGGGACTGCAGGCAGCCCTGGGGACAGCCAGGCATTTCTGGTGAGTCCCCCCACAAGCACGGATGTCTCTATCAGAGGCATTTCCACAGCCACCTGCACTAGCAAAGCAGTGTTTTGCATGCAAGTCCACGCCTGCACGCACAGCCAGACAGGTAAAAAGCCAGCAGGGTAAAGGCAGCTCTGACCAGCCTGGCACCAAAGCCAGTCAAACAGGGATAATTCCATGCCTCCTTGCTTTCGCATGGCTTTACCAAGAAGAAAGGTGTATCCAAACACAGCCCTGCTTCTCACGTGTTGTTGCTTGGTCTCCATCCATCAGTTCCACTCTCTGCAGCTGCTCCCATGCTCTGACGCACTCTGCCTCGCCTTCCAAACCCACGAGGCTCTCAACAGCCAGCCAGGGGCTGACACCAGCTTGATTTATTCAGTGAGGTCAAAGGAGACACAAGCACTTCAAGCTGCTTCCCTCCAGCTTCCTCCATCAGCAATGAAGCTGCCCTACACCTGCCCTATCCTGCAGGGTGCTGGGGCAGCTTGCCTACACAGGAGAAGCATGATGACAAAGAGCTGCCACTCACACCCACACCTTCACTCCACCACCCCACAGCCCTCACAGCTTTGATGATTGTGAACTGAAAACATTCCCACTTCCAAGTGGAGCTTTCCATTAAACCACCACGCTCAGGGCAGCAGTGCCTAGCACTGAGAGAGCACAAGGAAGAGCAGCTCTGAGCACACACAAACCTTCCATCCACATCTCCTGGCTCCAGTGGTGCTGCAGCACACTGTGCTCTGAGCACAGGATGGACACACTTTGCACCAGGGCTGAACTCCGGCCTCTGCATTCCTCCAGCAGCTCCTGGGCTGAGATGCTTCAGGCCTTTTGTTTCAGCACAGTTGCACAACGTTTTTTTTATGAAGAAAATTCAATTACAGAAGTTATTTGTAAGCACAAGGGCACCGGTGAGTATTTGAGAAACATGAGCTGCAGAGGCCCAGCGGTTACCAGCTGGCCTGGGGTCAGCACATCACTTCGCAGCTGGGTTGCTGCTGCTGCTTGCAGGGACTTGAGAAGAATTTCCAGGAGATTAATAGAAAAGCCAGGGCAGTTTCGTAGAGTAAAATATCTTAATATTTATTGTGTCTCAGGACAAAAGAGTTCTACTCAATACACAAAACGAGTTAAAGCAGCATGTAATACTGACGATCAAGTCACAGCTGACTCGGTGCAAGGACACCTACACCAAGGTAAAGGCACCAGGACCTACATCACCAAACCCTGCTACAGCTTAGAAAGAATCGCTACAGCCTGTACTTCAAAAAGTACAACTATAAAAAAATATATAAAATCCAGCATGAGGACGAGAGCTTGGCAACTAGCCGAGACCTTGCTGAGCAAAGAGCTTCAGCAAGCAGGCACTGCTTGAACGGGACAGCAGCCCCATCTGAAGAAGAAACGTGGCCAGCGATTGAGCCTGAACAGAGAGAGGGATGAAAAAGGCGCTGAGAACAGAATTCGGAGATGAGAGAAAGCACTGCTTTCCCAAGGGAGGCACTTAGTGAGAACAGCTTCTGCCCAGGAGCAGGACAGCCAACAAGGCTGCAATGAATGGTGGCAGCGGCCGCTCCGGCGCAGTTGAGAGAAGTCCAGCACCCGCAGGAGTGCAGCTACTGCAACCTCCTCAGCCACGCTAATTATCCCACTCAGTGGTACAATAGAGTAGTGTTAGGACAAGTCCCCAAGCACAGCAGAACAGCTGTTGCACTCGTTTCGATGAGCTATCTGAGGAGAGGATCAGTCAATTCAAAGCAAGACTTCATGAGGCAGCGTCCGGAGGAAAACTGCAGGTGGTGTGGTCTTCCCCTACACAGCGAGCAGGAGGAATGCCTGCCATTCAGAAGACACCATTAACAAACACAGCATTTAGAGGCCCACAGTTAAACACCATGGAGGAGGGTGCAGCAGACAGGGCTCAGCAGATGCCTTCCTGCATGGCTCAGCAGCATGCTGCAGGAGGCAATGGCAGCAGCCACGGACAGACCAGAGGTGGAGGCCCAAGTTTAATGGGACAGCATCACAGGCAGCACCAGCAAGACCACAGGGGACCTGCATGCTCTGTTTTTGATAAAGATGAAATAGTTTCCCCTCGCTTCCACCCCCATCTCGCTTCCACCCCCTCTATCACCATGGAAGTACACACACTGCCCACACTGTGGTTTAGGAGTTTGCAAACAGCCCTGAAAGCCCAGTCTAGCACAGCCAAGGCTTATGTCAACAGATAGACGTACCTTAGTCAAAGCCACTGTGCACTGGGGGGGCTACACCATCTCATACTGGTTGTTCGTGATGTACTGGGACAGACAGCAGGCGAGGATGATGCCAACCAACTGAAAAAAAGAGGAAAGACACAATAGAGGTGGCCCAAAATAAGACATTGTGCTCTAGTGGGAAAACCTGACCAACTGCTCCATTCATCATCAGGCACTCACATCTCAGTTTTATAACATACAAAGACAGGGGGATTTACAAACAACAGACAGGCTGCTGCACCCCACTTCAGAGTAAGGGGGAGAGACTGAAGGAGGGGTTCCTGGTAGGTATCAACCAAGATAGCTCCTCACAAGTGATGCTCCACATTCCACCCTCTTAGATATTGCTTTATGAAGCATCTACTGTTATACAGAAGCTTCAGAAATTACACCAATTTCAGGAGCATCACAGCCAATTGCACAACCAACAGGGAACAACCACCTCTCCTGGCTGCAAGGGCAGTGGGGAAATCAAGGCTGTTGTTTCACATCAGCAACACATGCAGAACACGCTGCTGTTATCAAACATGGCCTTTCAGCTCCACACAGACACTTAGAGCTCGATCCTGCAGGAGTTTGACCTACAGAAGCCAAGTTAGAGGCAAATTTACATGATTGGTCCCTGCTGGCTGTACAACACAGCAAAGACTTGCTGAATGAGTGATAAAAACCAGGAAATGGCTGCAATTCCCCAGCCTGGTGTTAGCCAAGCTAATTGCACGGCCGGAGCCGGGGGAAGCAGGCAGCTCACAGTCTGCGTGTCAGTCACATCTCAGCTGCCCCATGCGGAGCACAGCTCAGCTCACATCAGCGTGGGAGGAAAGCAGAGATCAGCCCCAGCTCCTGGCCCCTCTGAGCCACAGCTGAAGGCTCCTTGTAGCACAGACTGCAGCCGTAGCCCTGCTGGCTTCAGCTTCACCCATGTTATTCAGCTTTCATTGCAGGACAGGCAGGGTGACACGCTCATGTCTTGGCGAGGTTGCACACCTTCCTCTCCCCACACTGGTGCTGTTATCTGCTGGTCCTGTGCCTCCAAGGTCTCATCGTGGCTTCAGGACCACTGAAGGGCAAACTCACTTCGCTCCCAACTGAAAACCTGTCAAGCTCGATCAGCATCCAGAGCTGAGCGAGTTTTCCAAACCCAGAAAAATAAAGGCCTGCTATGCATCCTGCAGCCCCTGCTGTAACACATCAGATCTGGATTTCCCAAGCGCTCAGCCCCATTGTGCACAGCTCCTTGGGAAACCCAGACCATGGCATTCACTATGCACAAAGCCCAATTTAGCTAGGAACTGAGGGGCAGAGGCCTCTCGTTTCCTGCTGGGATAAAGCCTGTCAGATTACAGGACACTAAGCACATTGTTGCATGAAGCCCGTGCAGGAAGTGTCCTACAGGATAAAGTAAACTGGAGGCTGAGGAGCTGGAG